TTTGCTGCGCAATCGCGAGAAGCAGTAAACTATTGCATATAAATCTGGTTAGAGAACACATTACAACCATTAACCCAGGAACATTGCCAAGACTCTTTGGTTAAACGAAGTGTTGGAAAAACAGGAGAGGGTATAAGAGATCACAGGTCGCTGTGCATTCCTGAAATTTCAATCCTTCTATCTAACCGACAACTACTTTAAACCACCCTGCAAACTTATTGGTACTATTGCTTAGAACTACGCCTGATTGTAGCTTCGAAATTCAGCTGACTGCAATTCTCAAAATATTGTCATTGTTTTGGTGTCAGAAAATATTATCCAAATAATTTTGAGGATACTGGGTAGGTATAGAGTTCTTAGTCAAATAAAAACCTGAATCCATTCCGATTGCGTATATAAAGAACGACATTCGTCGGAACTTTTCAAATGTCTCAAAGGGTCTCTCTTTTGAATAAAAGCTATGCAGGAAACATTTGTAAGCCTGGGCATAGATATTAACTTACATAATATAATTTATTATGCCCACATAATTTTTGTCCCCAACGACGCGTGAAATTTTATTTCTTTTTACTTACTAAAAATCTATTGATGCCCCACTTTCGAACAAGTTATTAGCCACAAGAACGAGATACTGCACTTAAATATTGCAAGACCATAGCGTGTTAACAAAATAATTTGAATGATTAAATTTTCCAAAACAGTTTAAATTAATACCGCATAGAGCACAGAAAAAGGCAATAAAATCGATGAAAAAACGAAGTGATAACACGAAACTGCTGCAGCACGCTACCAGCATTGCCGACGTCGAGGGGCAAGAGTGGACAGCCGTCAATATATTTTACACTTATTAACATACATTTACCGTTACCGGCACGTGTTGGCTGGCATGCGTCCTCTAGTTACTACTTCACGTCCTTTTTCTACTTATTCGTGCCAAATAACGCATAGACAGACGGCGCTGTGTGGGCTGCCGGTTAGTCGACTTAGATAGTAAATTGTTGCTAAATATTTGCACATAGTGTTGGCTGTATGTACAAGTTACTGAACTCTCCCGCAGACAGCATGAATTCCAAACTTTGTCACACTCGGACCTATTTACATACCGTTATACTCGTACATACAGAATTAGATACATTACTTTGCCTGGTTAATTGCTTAATCAAGCTTCTGCGACGAATTCGGCAGTTGATTTGAATTTCAAATGAAAATTTGTCTCAAACTAAATTACCAAATGTCATTTAGTTAATTACGAAATAAGTAGCACGTCATAAACTGTGCTAATGATATGCATTTAGTAATTGCGTCCGAACATAAATTCTCAAAATTATGTACATAGCCTGTATGAGCTCAAAGATATAAATGCGAGTTTCCACTTATAGTGCGCAACGCTCTTTGTAAAGAAATTCTAGCAATTGTCGATCCGAAATCTTACCAGAAAACATAGGTAGGACGGAGTTCAATGAAACTAAAGTATTGTTTGGCTCTCTTGCTGCATTGCGCTCAAACTATCTGGGACTCTTGATGAAATTACTTATATCCGTTATGCTTTTTGTGAACAGGCCTCAAGGTTGGGTTCCTGAAGGGTTTATTGTAGTTTGTGTCTGTAAATTCTTATATACTCGTATAGTATTATTCCTGGCATACCTCAGCCATACCAGTGAAAGATCAAAAGATAACAGATCTTTCGCAGGGGATATGATATTAACTGCTCTTGGATTCCTCTAAAGAGACTCCCAACTTTGCCAACTCGTCTGCCCATTCGCTGTGTAGAGAATATTGCTGTGGACCCAAACTATGGATAAGTGGAGCTGACCTGCCAGTGAGCTTAATGCCTTCCTGAAACCGTTGACTACGCTGGAATTAATTTGCGGTGTCAACTAAGCCAACAATGCCACTTAACTAACCGTGGTTGCCTTCTGTATTCTACCGTAGTTATACAATAGAACTGCATTGGCCTTCTGTGTACCTCGTACGTTCGCTCAAATGATGATTGCTGAGTTTTGTGGACGAATAGAAAAAGAGAAAGAGAGAGAGAGATGTCAAGATCATTGGAGTATAGCTCGCACCTATTTCGCAATGCATTTTGGTCCCGTTAATATATGTAGAAAGAGGTGGATGATCCTCTTGTCCATTCACGTCTAAAAGGTAAATCAAGCTTTGAGACTGTACAATGCGATTTACTTAGGATTGGCTGGTTCAGGAGTCAGGTTCATCTAAACCTTTCCGGTCTCAACCACCTATATTTTCAAAATTTTCCAATTTAAGAATCGTTAGATAATATATTAGACTGGAAATTCCATTCCAAGATCTTGATTACATTATCTTTCAGCGTTAGAACTTGGACAGCATAAATCAACTTTGTCACGAAGTTTGTATTATTCAGAATGAAGCACCGGAGACTTTATAAAGTATGTGTATTTAAATAAATATGATCATATTATTTTGTTTTTTGGTTTACCTTCAAATACTCGATCGTTATCTTGGATTGATATAATTGTGCACTATCAACGTTATTTCCAACCAAACATTGCTTTAAATACTTAATTTTTGTTTGAATATGTAATAACCCTCCTCAAATAAATATTTAGTAGTAGTTCTGTAGGCTGTACTTGCACCGAACCAAAAGCTTATCGGAAAAGTAGATTCTTTGAAATGCATAGCATGCGCAAAGGATGATGAAATGCTTGAACATCATATATCCGAACGCCCAGACTTCCGCCGGAAGAGACTCCAAATTAGGATACAATAGGGCAACTATTGTGAAAAAGTTAGGACTTCCTGGATAAGTCCTAATTTGGTTGCTCCCCGGGCCTAATGATGGCTTTAGTTTTCGACCAAGTAACCAACTAACATTTTTAAGGTTTCTAGTTTGTTTGTTTTCATTTGAATAGCGTGATCCAAGTAGAGATTCCATTTTCAATAGCCCTCTTTCGACAGAGTACGCATGAGTCGTGTCAAGCTGTCATATTATTTTTATTAAGTTTTTGTTTGGCATTTTATCACGGGAAGACTTACGCCTGAACGCTCTTGAAAAGTTCCAAGAAGATCTGACCTATTCGAGCAAAATTTTATACAGCGATGAGACCCATTTCTGTCTCAATGGGTTTGTAAACAAGCAGAATTGCCGCTTTTGGGACAAAGAGAAACCTGGAGAAATTCAAGAACTGCCATTCCGTCCAGAAAAAGTAGCAGTTTGGTTTGGCTTGTGGCCGATGGAATCATCGACCATTTGAAGGCTGAAAGTGAAGATAGTGATCTCGGCATTTTTTTTCATTTGGTTTCAACAAGACGGCTCCACTTCCCACACATCGCATCAATCAAGGGATTTATTGAGAGAATACTTCTCAAGTTCGTGTTTTATCACACCGTTAGACTTTTTCCTGTGTGGAAATGTAAAGCCTAAGTATATGGGGACAATCCTGCTTCGATTCAGGCCTTGGAGCAAAACATCACGTTTGTCATTCGCCAGTTACCAGCGGTGGATAGACCATCTGAGACGTAGCCGCGACTAACATTTGAAAGAGATAATCTTCAAAAAATAAATGCCAAAGAATGTTTTCTGGAATGATAATAAACATTCCACATTAAATTTGAAGTTTCTGTGTTTTTTTTATTTAAAAATGTTGGGCACCTCCAAATTGATCACCCCATAGTAACAAGGCTTGGTTAAAGTTAGAATTCTACTCCAATTCCATTAATATTAAAAACGTATAATCAACTTTCAAAAAAGGAAACGAATGTATAATTCTTATTTGAATTTATTTAGATATTTTAAGCCGCACTAAAATCAGCATTTCAACTATCTGAACCTCCTTGACATTTAACTGCCAAACCAAATATTATATTAAATTGAATTAAGCATCTACAAATGCCTACAATTAAAAGTAATTATAATTACGAATATATGTATATAGATATCTATTTATATATATATATGTATATATATGTAAATTACAAGGTTAGCCGCAAATTACTTAGCGCACAGGAGCACTCACGAAATATAACCAGCTAGTCATAACGCTTAATTTATTTGATCCCTAATAATTTTTTAGCTGCGCAGAATTACTGACTGGTGCCAGTAAGCCACTTTGCAAATGAACATGTATGCGTATGAGAATCTGGTTATAGATAGGTGAACTCAATGGATTGAATATGCATGTCGAACGCGACTAATTGGCGCACAAACGCGCGTTAATTTAGTGCATTTGTATTTGACGGCACCTGTGACAGCTGGCGCAGCTTAAAGCGCTATTGAAATTCATTTAAAGCAAATTAGTTAATTTCAAGTAAAAAGTTGGAAAATTCAACATCTTTTTAATGCTTGTGGGTTGCGCTGCAGCAGCGCGGCACAGACGCGTAAATACGTATAACTCAATCTTGTTTGGCAATAAACGCAGCGCAAGCGGACATGCCGCGCTTGATAAGTGATACTAGTCTGCCGATTGCAACATATACATATGCATATATGTACGTATGAATATAAGTGTTTAGCAAATATTCATTCTGCTACTTGGCGACGCATTTGCATAATACGTTTGCGCATGCGCGCCGTACCGCGCACATATGTCGAATCGGCGCACGTGTGATGGAGGTGTTGGTGAGCGTACTTTGCCGCATTGGCACTATGCGCAACGTGTCGCACAGCATCAATACGTTTTGTTCTTGTTTTTGTTGTATTATCGTTCCAATCAATATGCTTTAGTGGATCAGTGTCGCAAGACATAAAGCTGCGCGCCTAAAGTAGATCATATAGGCGTACATATGCTAGTAATTAAAGTATTCGAACGCAAATCGCACTCACCGCAACCCAACGCGATATTTGAAGAAGTTTTACTTGTATACTTGTATGCTTTGAATCAGAAAAAAAAGAAAACAATATGTGCCGAAGAAGTCATTACGAAACATGAGCTATGCAGTATGTTGGCACGACTTCTGTGAACGCTCAGCTGATATAGTTAGGTATAAATAAGCGCGCAGGATGGCAATATTCAATTAATCCACGCTTGCAATTTACAGCGCTGACTTCACAGTTCAATTACATTAAGTAATCCACTTACGTAACGTAAACCTAGAATATGTTCCTCAAGGTAAATATTTGTAACTACAAAATCGAACCATAAAAATTCTCGAAACATTCACCTATTTTCTATGCATTTTAGTTATTCATTCTCGCCATCGCCGTTCTGCACGTGCACGCCTTGGTCGAGCTTCATGATCCACATGAAGAACATGGCCCCGTCGCTTATGAGTTCCACTATGCTGTGCACGATCCACACACTGGTGATATTAAATCGCAGAAGGAGTCACGCAAGGACGATCATGTAGAAGGCGTTTACGAACTGATCGATTCTGATGGCCATCATCGTGTCGTACACTACAAAGCCGACGATCATAGCGGCTTCGAAGCTGTTGTTTCACGTGAACCGACCAATATTAAAATTCCAGTTCCCGAAGTGCATCACAAGTTAGTTGCAACCAAAATTTTGGCACCAGCTTTGCTGCATCATTAGAACGACGAAAAACCCGCATTGAAACCACCATATAATAAATATTCTAGAAATACTCGATACGACGGTCTTGTGTGAAAGTCGAAGCTTCGTGGCGTCAAGCATGGTTATTTGTGGAATTCGTTGCATTTACTCATATTTACACTTGCATTTTTGTGTGTTTAGCCATAAATCCTATAATTAGCTAAGTTTTAACAATGTTTTTTAAGTCAAATTGTGAAAGCATCCCTTATGTGCCATTTTATTATAATGATATTTGTAAATATTTCTGCAATCTCCCGTTAAATATGCCATGCAAATGTACATACTATACATACATACACATATTGAAATATAAATGCGTCAATGTAAAGAAAATAACGCTTAATGTTCGTTAATCACAAGTAAAAAAGTGCAAGGGATTAAGATATTGGCAAAGGAACAAAATTTCAAAACAACGTGTATGACTTATTTTGCTAAGCCACCTGATCCATCCATTTTCTAGATTCATAAAGTAGTTCGGTCCAAATTCCCTTCACTTTATTATGCCCTTTCTGAACAACATAGTGCTGGTGATGAAGTTCTTCAATACTGAAAGTTTTACCTGTGTAACTTCCTAAATCAACAGCAAAGAACAAATTTTATAGTATCCTCATCTTCTACTTCCTGACTGATGCTACAATAGTTATTCTCTAGCCTTCGCAGTCTGCTAGCAATTGCAGAGTGGTGCATGCTTTGGCTATTTCGGCTTCACATATACCAGTAATATCACTATGTCCCGGAATCCAATATAATCTAGTTTAGACCCATCCATATATGTAGATGCTTAACTTCGTGAAAGCGAAGACAATAACCTACAGAATATGAGTTCAATTCTATAAGGTTTCAAAAATCCGTGGTTTTGTGTAGAAACGAGAACTTACTTTGTTAAGTAACTTAAACCGTAATCTGTCCTTCCCTGCTATTGGATAGAAACGCTAACTTATTATGTTACGTAGCTTAAGATGTGCCCCTTATTACAGGTGACTAATAGGGAGAATTCCTTCAGTCTAAAAGCTGACTTCGTTGCTAGTTGCTTACAGAACAAGTCCGTATCAAAACGTTAAGTGCATGACTTGTGCAGACCTGACAAAAGAAAAGCCGATGCTTTTTGTAATCACCTTAGGAATACTTTTAAGCCTTTTGCTCTCAATAGTGACTATTAGCGCTTGAGAGTCCATGTCAAATGGACTGAAATACAAGCAGAAGTTTTGCAGTTGAAACATTCTAAATCGCCTGGCCCAGATAATCTTTAATTGTGCTTTTAGGCTGAGCCACTTTTCTATGCAATGGAAAAGTGCCCTAATTATAATGATTCCGAAGCCAAACAAGCGCGAGAACGAAATATCCTAAGTTTTCTGGCAATATTTTCCAAAATATTTGAAAGAAAGCGCGAGAACGAAATATCCTAAGTTTTCTGGCAATATTTTCCAAAATATTTGAAAGAAAGCGCGAGAACGAAATATCCTAAGTTTTCTGGCAATATTTTCCAAAATATTTGAAAGAATATTTCTTCGTCGATTATATCTATTTCTGGAATCCCTATCCGTCAGCCCGGACAAACAATTTGGATTCAGGCAACTACATGGAACCCCTAAAAATGCCACAGTATCATTAAAGCCATACTAAAATGTCTGGAAGAGAAACAGTGTACAGCAGTTTTCTTAGACACTCAACAAGTTTTTGATAGAGCTTTGCACGAGAGGTTGTTGTTCAAAAGAAACTACCAGTTCCACTTTACCTATTTCTTAAGTCTTATCTCGATTACAGACATTTTACGTTAGAATTAATGTTGACACATCCGGTAAATACGAAGTAAAAGTAGGTGTTTCGCAAGATAGCGGGCTTGGCCCAACATTTTACACGATTTTTATTGGCAGCATGCCAATAATATATAACGAAAATAACCGTTGCCACACCTCCATTCTGACATCTGCATACTCTGCAAACGAAGCGTCTGAAACTTTGGGATTGGAACGTTATGGTGAATGAAACAAAATCACCGCATGTTGCTTTCACCATAAAAACAAGGAGCGCAAAAAGAAGTTATTGACTTATCATTGTTCTAAGAGCTCCACTGATGTTCATTTATCTAATACTTATATTAACCCATCCGAAAAATACATACCCTGAAGCTCTTCACAGAAAGCCTCAGATTTGCTTCATTTTATTATGCATTCTGTGGAAATCAGAACTAACGGCGCGGTTGTTGAGGCCAATGATATCAATATTATCGGCGTACGCCAACAGCTGTACACTCATGTAGAAGATGGTAAGCAGTAGGTCACACGAAAGGGAATCGCCTTGTCTGCAACCTCGTTTGGTATCGAACGGTTCGGAGAGGTCCTTTCCAATCCTAACGGAGACTTTTGGTGTTGCTCAACGCCAGTTTACACAGCCGTATTAGTTTGGCGGAGATACCAAATTTAGACATCGCGGCATAAAGCCAGCTCTTTTTCGTGATGTTGAAAGCAGCTTTGAAATCGACGAAAAGGGGGTGAGTGAATATCTGGTCGGTTATTGATTTTCCAGACCTAAAGCCACACTGATAAGTTCCTATCAGTTTGTTGACGGAGGGCTTTAATCACGTTCACACAATAAGCTCGAAAGAACCTTATATGCAATCCCACAGTGGTTGGCGCAGATTTTTGGGTCTCTCTTTTTGTGAATTGGGCATAGCACACTTAAATTCCAATCGTTGGACATGCTTTTGTCCGACCAGATTTAACAAAGAAGCTGATGTATGCTCCTTATAAGTTCTTCGCCGAGGTGTTTGTCGTTTTAGCTCGGCCGGCAATCCATCGGCCCCCGCCGCTTTGTTATTCTTCAGGCCGATGGTGTTATTTACGTTCGACTTTTTTCAAACCATATACATATGTATGAGACCATATGTAAGTAAATAACACATCAACTTACAGGTCAAACTATACACATTACTGAGGTCGAGTTTTTCAAACTGCCTGCTGTGCCAACTTTTGAACTCGAAAGGTTCGAACTAAAATTGAAACTCTGTCGAGTCTAAAGTGGGAAATGTTTTAAATCCTTTATTTATATAACAACAATAAGTAATTAATTAAATATATTATAATAATTTACTATTAAACAACTATTTGTTAAAATTTTAATAATTTATTGTAGTCTAAATTTAGTATGATGGCAAATAAAGCTCCGATTGTGGAATATAATCCAATGGTGGTGGTGCATATTCTGTACCATAAGAAATTGAATTCAGAAATTTTGTGCTATGATCATCATATGTGTTGTGACAACCCACGGTACTTGAACTGAGTTGATCATAGCCTGCTTGCTGAGATGGTAATGAAGGAGACGCCACAGTATAAAATTGTGATTCACTCAAATCCATTTTATGGACATAGTTTGCATACTGTGGTTCCGACGCTGGCAGCAATGGTGAGGCATAGCTCTGTGATCTGATATCTAATCTGTCTTCTTTATATTGAGACTCCGAAGAATTACTTTCGTAATTCGACTCAGCCGCAGACGTTGGGATGCCATAAGACAGCGAGTGTGGTTGATAAATTGGTGCGGTAGATGGAGGAGTTTGAGGGAAGCTGCCATGTATGGCATATGAAGGTCCGTTGATGGATTGTGTGTAGCTGTTGGTAGCCGCATTATTAAGATGTTCCATTTGCAAAAGACGAGTCAACTCATCAACAGAATAACTCGATTCTAATAAAGCATCCGGATAGATATTCGTAACCTGGGGATCTTCATATAAGTTTTGTGCAGGTTGAGGGTAAGCGATTGCTACTGGCTGCGATTGTATAGGCGGTCCCGATTGTGGCAGCATTGCTGGTTGAACTTTATACGCCAAATTTGTATTAAGGTATGGATTTATCAACTCTTTATTCCTATGTATAGGATAAATAGCGGGGGGAAGGCTGGACTGCGTTGACGGTTGTACCGGTGTGTATGTGGTTTGTGAGTCTGGCACAAATTTAAGCTGGTGCACGTGTTCCGAATTGAGCTGACCATTCGGTACACGTTGTGTTGTCTTTGTAACTTGTGTTATTTGTTTTTGTGTTGCTTGTGCTGCGCCATTTACCGTCACCTTGCGGCAGAACTCCTTACAGCCCCCTTTACATTCACAATAGCAATTGTTGTAAGTTGTAGCGGCTGTCGTTGTGACCGGCGGTGTAGGGGTGATGTACTGTGCTACACGCGGTTTTGTTGTTGTCGTTTTCTTAACTGGTGGATGCGCCGTTGTATGTGGTCTCCGTGTAGTGGACGGTTGTGGCCTTGCAGTAGTGGTTGTACTAGGTCTACTAGTAGTAGCGACCTCTTCACATGGCACCTCCTCCCACACTTCCTCTTCACATTGCGGACAATAATGATGGTAGTTAGATGTAGATGCGGCTGGCGCGAATATAGCGCAGGCCAGCACTAAGAAACAGAACGTAACAGACTGAAATTGAAAGAGAAAGCATTAACTTGTGTGTCAAATATGATCGAAAATTAAAAGTAAAAACAAAAAACGGGATACAACAAGTGATTGACTGCGAATTGGTTTACGCTAAATGGGTCAGTACGGCGATAGCAACGTCGGCAAAGCCGTTATGTCTTTATTAAATAATCGTCTCTACCATAATTGTCCATTTGGCACTTATACCGAGCGGGTGGTATTCGCAGCGACCTACTCAGTGTTAATTTACCTTCAACAGCATTTTCTGCACTCACTTAACGACAGATTCGTCGACGTTTGCCAATTGAAAGTTAAAAATTTTTTTTTAATGCAATAAGTTTTATAAGCCAATCGTCTTTACTGCGCCAACACAATGTATGGGTGTCGAATTATTTCGTTTTCCGTTGTATGCCGCCTCAGCACGCGCTTGCAAAGCTGGCCAATATACGGGCGAAGGTTGGACGCGCAAAAAATGTTCGCCTAGGGCACGTTCAGCGGAAAAAGAAATGTGGAGAAATGGTAAATGTTGTACCAATTGTTTTGTGTCCGCATGAGTTGAAATATGTTTACAAAATAAACCACCTTTTTCCCGAAGTCACTTGTAAATTCCGACGTTGTAAGTAGCAGATATTTCCCATATTATTGCTTCATAACCTTCATGGGTTTAAGATATTCTGCAAATATAAAGCTTATCATTTTTATAGTAGTATTAGGGTGGTTCTTAGATTTTGATTTTTATTAAATGCTCGAATTTTACAACTAGACTCATTTTTTTAAAGCTTTCGTCAGTTCCAAATGGCAGCTCAACCAAATTGTACATTTATAGATTATATTTTAATGATAAAAAATTTTTGTTGTTATTTTCTGGTTCCACAATGATAGCAAATATGAGGTTTAATATATTTGAAGCTGAATTTATTTTAAGACTAAAAATATTTGTTGGGCTTCTGTAACCGTTTGTAGTACAACATGTTTATATAGAATTTTTCTCGAAATCTAAAAAGCATTAGCTGTCTCATGCTCAGCTAACACCATCTGAGTTCTAACCACTGCTGCTCTGGTCACTTAAAATACAAAGTACTTAAAGTACAAATTCCATACAGCTCATTCATTCATCTCATCTCATCTCTTCTCTTCTCTTCTCATCTTATCTCATCTCATCTCTTCTCATCTCATCTTATCTCATATGTCAAAGCGAAAAGGTCCATAAATATTTACCTAATCTTCGAAGAGAACGAGCCTAATTTAGGTAAGCAAAGATTTATTTCGCTAAAGTCAAGAGAATTGATGAAAAGGAATACTTCGACTATTAATATCAAACAATGCTTCGTCCTCTTTTCTTTCTACAGTAGACTCGTTTCTTTATCTGCTCCGTCACTGCTGCAGTGATTGCCGTGCAATTACATTCAGTTAAAAAAATAAAAAATTGACAAAATCGCGGCATTTTTAAGATAAATATGAATTTTGCCCTAAATTGTGGCAATTTTTTCCCTGACAAAATTCGATTATCAAACAACTGGTAAGTCATTGTATGGAGAGCAGAAAGATGAACTGATTAAACTGGGTGGTTATATTTTTGAATGTTGAAATGGAAAAAACTATTTATATATGTCAAATAAATTTAATAATTTATATCACATCGAGTGGTCGTCTGCAATAAGTGGCATTCGAAGATACTAAGCAAGTTAGTGTTTATACCCAATACCGCAGGGAAGAAGTCGCTGGTCAATGGGAAAATCCAAAGTGAAAACGATGCCCAACTCACACCACCTTTCTTGAGAACAGCTACCTAACCAAGGCCGGCATCCCAACGCTTCCGCAGCCGCCCAACTGTCAGAAAAGACGAGAGAAAGGCAAAGCATTTTGAGACGACAAATGGCATCCATGCAGTATGCACCTCCGCTCTCAGGGCTATACCGAAGAATGCCTGCTGCGACGGTTTCAATGCTTGGAAACTGCGCTGAGAGCGCTGCATAGACGCAGAAGGAGCATATTTTGAAAGTTTTTAAAGAATTGTAATTGGTTCAATAATTTTTTTTATCTATTAAGTTCTATTACTTCTCGGGAAAACCCTGTATTTCACCATAAATCTGTGTTTGTATTTGTTTTCCATGTTTCAAGAAATAGTAATATTTCTGGTAACTGTGAAGCAGATGAACTGCGCCGGTGAGTTACCACCTTGCAATTAGACTCTGGGAAAGAGGGTTCTTATTTGCCACTAGGTACTTGTAAATATTTGATCGACAAATATTTTTTATACTAAATATAGCTGAGTCTGTTTGGAGCCAGACCTTAAACCTTTCGTTGTGAATGGTTTTTTAAACAAGGTATTTAAGTTGTGATTTCTAACCCCGCAAAAATCTGATCAAAATCTTCTGCAATGTTTTAGAAGTTGAGATCTATGTATTAACTTTTACATCGTCAGATATCAGATTAAATTTTAATTCCGTTTTTTTTTACTCTATAATTAGTTAAAAACCTTTTGATTTGTATTCTCCCCTGAAAAAGCTATCTCTTCATTTGGACAGTGCTTAGATCATTGTCGGTATGTATTGTATGTACCTTTCATACTTTTATATATGTATTATAAAATTGGAAAGAGGTGGTGACTGGGTTGCCACATTATTAATTACACGATTAAGATTTATTAAACAAATGTTTATTTATTTTTTATAGTTTATATAAAACAATTATTTAAAAAATGTTGTAAAAATATCTTAAATTAATTAAATAATACCCATATATTTGGTACTCAGATATGTATATTAACTTTTGGTCTAACTTATGGTAGACCCAACGCTGAGCGATACAAATACTCGAAATCTCGGATGTGTGGTGGAGCTTCATATACTGGCGCATCCGCGCTCATATCAGTCATATAGCGTTCTTTCAGTTTTTGGTTTAGAAGCGCTGATGTCTCCTCAGTGGGCGGATTATCGTATGTAAGAAACGTATCTGATAATTGGAGTGGAGTTTCCGCTGGTATAACCGCAGCTGGAACGACTTCTGTTAGCGACGATTCTTTGAGAAACTTCGACGATAACGCAGTGCTGCTCGAATTATTATTATTATTATCGATACTAATGGTTTCTGTGTTTGGAATAAACGTATTTTCCTCCAAAGATTTTTCTAATTCTTCCATATAGTTTGATTGTGGAGAGACACTTTGGATTTGTTTGCTCTTCTCGTTGTTTTTTGACAAATCAACGCGTTCTACTTCGCTTCCTTTCGATTGCGCCTCCATATTGTCGTTAAATTTTTGGGTCCAGGGAGCGGTTTCCTCTACTACCGGTTTTATATTCTTCATTTCGTTGTTCTTTTTGCTCGTTTCAATCTTTGGGACATCTTGTTTATATTGATTTGATGAATTTGAATGCATTTTTGGATTTTTACCCTTCTTCTTCGCGTTCAGTATGATAAATTGAATCTTTTTCTCCCCATTTGAAATCCGTTTTTCTTGTTTCTTTGTAACTGTTCGCTCCTTAATGTCTTCTGGAGGTGTTGTGGTCGCATCACTCTGCTTTCCCTCTGTCTGCTGCATTGCTGCCGCTTCATAACGCTTAAGGCTTTCGTAATAACCGGGCTGATCGGGTGTGATGATTTGTATCGGCTCATTGGCATTCAAAATTTGGTATTGTGGCGTACCCAGTTCGTAGGTGATGGCATCACCTTGATGTATTTCATTGCGTAAGTCTTGCCATGGAAAGGACGCGGTATCGTTGATGATATCATACTCAGCTTGGGTGAATGCCTTTTCCGCGTCTACACTTACATTGGTGCAATTAATTAAAAACACGGTTACAAAAATAACTGCTAATACATCTGACCCCATCTTGCAACTGATGCGTCTGTTAGCAAACCATAAACACTGAAATGTTTTCAAAGTGCTGTTTGGATGCAAAACGTGTCAAACGGTACGAAATCGCAAAGAAGAAAGACAAACGTGCGTTATGTGATGGAAACTGAAGATTTAGATGAAGCGTTAATCAAAAGATAAATTATGAGTGTGTAGGGGAGGGCTAAGTTCGGCTGTATCCAAACATTTTCACACACAAATTTGATTTTGGAGTAATGAAAACTATTATATGTAATATATGGGAGCTGGGATAGTTCATGGATCGATATCGCTCATTTATGGCATTAAGCGATAGTATATCCAATATTATACTTTGACTTTACGTTGCTAATATCTCTTACATACTGACGATATATACAGTATAAAGCAAGCCGGAAGTTTGATATTCTTATATACATATTATATCTTTCTGAATTTCAATAAGAAACCTTACGGATTGACCAATACATATATATAAAAGGTATAAAGTCAGGCGGATCTTTGGAAAACCTTATATTAATTATATGGGAACACGAGGACATATTGTCATACATTTTATGAAAATAAACTGTTATTTGAAAGATATTACTTCTGAGGGTCACTAAGATTTCTTACTTATTGGCCAATAGATGAGGAAAAGAGTGATCCATTTCGACATTCCCTACTTTTTTAAAGAAAAAAATTGAAACTTCAATCTTGATGAAGAATGTTTATTATGGTGGTTCATCCGTTGAGTATAATTTCGATGGCTCGTTCGAGCATTTCGACTAATAACTGACGAATGACACGCATGTTGTTTTGCTCCAAGGCCTGATAGACTTTCCATATCCCCACAGGAAAAAGTCTAAAGTCGTATGATACCCAGGGTTTTGGTGGCCCATTAATCGACCCAAAACTTGAAATTATCTGTTCTCTTAATTAATCCATTGATTGATGCGACGTGTGGGAATTGGCGACGTCTTGTTGAAACTAAATGTCGCCGAGATCACGAGCTTCAATTTCAGGCAGCAAACAGTCGGTTATCGTGGCGCGATAACGATCGCCATTGACGGTTACGTCTTCACCGGCATCATTTTTGAAGAAATATATGGACCGATGATTCCACCGGCCCACAAACCAGACAAAATCGTTGTTTTTTCTGAATAAAATGGCAGCCTTTGAGTTTCTTCAGATTGCTCTTTGTCCTAAATGAGCAATTTTGCCTGCCTATATACCTATTGAGCCAGAAATGGGCCTCATGTTGGAACAAAATTTGACTCGAAAACGTCGAATCTTTTTGGAACTTTTCAAGACCCCACTGAGCGAAGCATTGTCACTTGTTAAGGTGGACCATACGTCAGTAAGAGTTGTTGCGAACGGCGCCGAGTCGAATCTCCAGGGTCTTCGTGTACACTCTCAGCCACGGCTGCTTTATTTTCTTCACGTCG